GTGCATGGAACCCATGACGCGAGGGAGTGGAACCTTCCACCACGGCAAGATAACGGCCGCCTGCTTGTCCCCAGCGACCATGCGTCGACTCCAAGTGACGGTGTGCTTTTCGCGTGAAGTGCCGCTAGCAACAGGATGAAGTACCATGCCCCTGCGAAGGGCACACGGAGGAGGAGGAGGAGGAGGAACAAAACAGAATAAGGTGAGTAGTAATGAAACGAATAACAATATGAAAACTACAAATAATATGCCGAACAGTAAGAATATTAACACGATACTAATAAGACAAATGGTAATACTACGAATAATGCCGAAACGAAAAAAGAAGGAGGAGGAGGAGGCGGAGGAGGAGGAGGAGGAGGATGAGGCGGAGGAGGAGGAGGAGGAGGAGGAGGAGGAGGAGGAGGAGGAGGGGGAGTCGGGAACCCTTTGCTCGCACAGCGGGTAGGGGTCCCTTGGTGGGGATGGTGGGCGCTTTGGGGCTTTCTATGCGTGTGATGATGGACCCAAGCAAACAACTGCCGCCTCACCACACAGTCGCCCCCACTCCTTATCCTCCTCCTTCAGGTTACTATGTGAGCCTTATCGTGTACATACCTACCCCTTCTCCGCCCCCCAGGGTGCAAGGGAACCCAGATGCCCCTCCCTTGGGGGGGGGGGGGGGGGCTGTCCGCTTGTCGCGACTCATTTTTTACAGCTATTAGTTGGACCCTCCCCCCTAGGGGTAAAGGCCTCTGGGGGGGGGATGGCAGCGTCAGGATGACACCAGTGCCACCAGCTTCCAGCTTCCAAGAGGGGGATGAAGAAGAGTAGGGGGAGAAGGGCAGTAGTACATAGGGGAGGTGGCGGAGGAGGGGGATGAGGGGGAGGAGGGGAAGGAGAAGGAGTAGGAGGAGGCAAAGGAGGAGGAGGAGGAGGAGGAGGAGGAGGAGGAGGAGGAGGAGGAGGAGGAGGAGGAGGAGGGAGTAGGAGAGGGATGAGGGTGGAGGACGAGGAGGAGGAGGATGAGGAGGAGGAGGAGGAGGGGGAGGGGGAGGGGAGCAGGAGGGGAGAGGAGGAGAGAAAGAGGAGGAGGAGAGGGTAGAGAAGGATGATGATGATGATCATGATGATGATGATGATGTGATGATGATGATGATGATGATGATGATGATGATGATGATGATGATGATATGATGATGAGGATGAGGATGAGGATGAGTATGAGGTATGAGGATGAGGATGAGGATGAGGATGAGGATGAGGGACGAGGTATGAGGATGAGGATGATGATGATGATGATGATGATGATTGATGCTGATGATGATGATGATGATGATGATGATGATGATGATGATGATGATGATGATGATGATGTGATGCGATGATGATGATGATGATGATGATGGATGATGATGATGATGATGTGATGATGATGATGATGATGATGATGATGCTGATGATGATGATGATGATGATGATGATGAGTTGATGATGATGATGATGATGATGATGATGATGATGATGATGGATGATGATGATGATGATGATGATGATGATGATGATGATGATGATGATGATGATGATGATGATGCTGATTGATGATGATGATGTGATGATGATGATGATGATTGATGATGATGATGATGATGATGATGATGATGATGATGATGATGATGATGATGATGATGATGATGATGATGATGATGATGCTGATGATGATGATGATGGATGATTGATGATGATGATGATGATGATGATGATGATGATGATGATGATGATGATGATGATGATGATTGATGATGATGATGATGATGATGATGATGATGATGATGATGATGATGATGATGATGATGATGATGATGATGATGATGATGATGATGATGATGAGGAGGAGGAGGAGGAGGAGGAGGAGGAGGAGGAGGAGGAGGAGGATGAGGAGGCGGAGGAATGAAGGCGGAGGAACGAATTATGATGAGGCAGAGGAACAAACACGGGGATGCGGAGGATGAGGAGGATGAGGCCGAGGAGGAGGAGGATAAGAAGGAGGAGGAGATTCTTGCCGACAGCGCGCACAAGGAGGACCCGTTCATATCGCCGACGGTGCCGCACTGGATGTCGAGCGAACCAAGTCAATTATCACCCGTCTGACCCACGTCTCGTGGCCGAGCCCAACACGTGTCTCTAGATTGCGCGATCTGAACGCGCTCGAGCGGATGATCCCCCAGAACATTGTGACCCGTCGCGACCGCAAACATTCATCGGGCAGAGTGTGACGTTGCTTCCGTCTCAGCCCCCGCCCTCGGCGTCTCTCCGTTGTAGGGCACACAGGGGGACTTCAGCATTTGCTGGCCTGTCGCAGGAGGACATGCTTGAGGGCTTGGTGGTAGCCATCGACGGCAAGAGATTCTGCAGTGCTGGGTACACGATCCGAAATCCAGCTCGACGTTCGCCACGCAGTGATTTTTGTTGGGCATCCCGGAGTATCTGAAACGGAATCTGGTACTCTTGGGAGCCCCTA